GACATGTTGTCCCCCTAACGTATAGGGTATACCTGAACCACTCACTCACACACACAAGAACAACCTTATAGATTCATATAGATCATTTTTAACACGATTATGTCATTAATGAGCACTCTGGGAAAAATGAATGGAAAAAAATACTTCCAATGCCGCAGAAAAAGTGAATGGGCACTAATGCACTCTATTAACAAGGTATGTTTATCTGATCAGCAAATCTGATGCACAGATATTAATGGCAAACTGACTTTTACCTCAGTGCAAATGCAGCACCAGACTCTGAGCTGGAAAGTCATTTTTTTGTTGCATAGTCGTAACTCTTAAACTCTGTGTGGTGACACATTCCTGCCGTCAAGCCCTCTAAACAAAAGTATGAGGAACAAAATCACAATGGATGTTTCGCTTGTATGTGGTATTGGCGTAGACCGGTTGATTTATGGGAATGCAGAGGTTCTGTTCAGCTTTTCTTTTGTAGTTCTGTCATACTCACAGATGCTCCCAGTGATCCAGTGATCACAGTAACGGCTCTCAGTAATGTTTTCCACAGGTGAAATGTCTCTCTGGGTCAGTGGAGCTCCTTCACGGGACTTTTTGTTTTTCAGTACAATAGCTTTTCACTGTTGCTTCAAGCTGTTTGAAAGTAATATTTCATCTCCTGAATACAACTACTATGATAATCAGTCTCTTCTCTCTTGTTTTAATCAGTGGTGGATGTGGGTGTGTATGTGTCAGTGTTTGCCGTGTGTGTGTGTGTGTGTGTGAGAGAGACAGTGAATACTGAAAGCCTCCGTCTGTGTTCAGACTAATTGGGAGTCTTGACTGATCTCCCCTCTGTCTCGCTCTGCTGTCTATCTTTCTGCGTGAGAGACAGAACTGTAAACACCGTGATGATACAGGGTTTTCATGCAGGAAGTTCATTTGGTCTTTCCACAGGTTTAGGGTGCAGTAGTTGAGCTATAGTCTTTATAGCGGCCATCTGTTTGCTTTATCAGCCCTAAATGTAAACACACCTGCGGGGAGCGTGCAGATAGACGCCTCTGCTGGCCACTTGCACGCATTACACGTCACGCTCGGAGAATCGGGGGGGTGCTGTTGTGATTAATATTGCATGATATTTCCGAGACGAGCTAATGGATCGGAGGGGCTTGTTTCTTCATGTCTCGATTTGATTTCTCACAGTATAGAGTTTCCACCTGCTGCCCCTCCAAACCCCCCGGAGACATGTCCCTTCTAATGAGTCCATGCATGTTACGTCCCTTTATTACACTCTCTCTCTCGCAGTCCATCTCTAAAGCCTGGTGTGGGCTTGTTATTTCTTGTCCTCTTTAATTAGGCACTGATGAGTCAAATCTGTTGCTGGAATCCAGTTTATTTTAGCTTAAGTCCTGATTCACTTTGGTTTTGTTTTTTCCACCGATATCTCCCGAGGGTGTCTTCATCCCCCCGATCAGATCGTTAGTCACCGCGTCAAACGGACTCGCTTAATGAGCTGGACACCTGCCCTCAGTTGCTTTTTATTATTTGATGTCAGATTGTCAGAAATCACGCCAGAGCGCCGAACTGAAGCGTTTGAGGAGCTCTGTCTGCGTTCACAAGCGCGAGCGTCCTTAATGCTGTCAAAGGGAATGAGTTAAGGCATAGCATGTGTTCCTTCGGTCATCCTTCAGTTCTCATGAATGATTGAATATCGTTAAACTTGAGAGAAGAAGTTTTTATTTCTTCTAAGCCAAGTAACATTCATGCTCCTTTGTGGTTTCTCTGGCTTATGATGTGTTTTTCAATAAACTTCTTTGAGGACACGAACAGAAATGTGTGTCATCAGTAAGGATGTGTGTGTGTGTGTGTGTGTGTGTGTGTGTATGTTTTAACCCTAAAACGTCTAGCTAATTGACTAATTAATTAAGTACTCACTTGAAAAAATAATCTGGATTTTTTTGGGTTTTATTGTTGATATGACTTTTAACTACAGCCTTTTAATTAGCTGACATATTAGAAGTGTTCAGTTAAGAAAAGAAGAACTTGAAGTTAAGAAATAATGTATATGCATATGATGCTGCTAAAAAGAACATTATGTTGTGTATTTGGTGTAATGAAATGTGTTTATGTGGTTTAAGGTTAAAAACTTGCGTTGCATCACGCCGCGTAAACATAAAACCATGTCTGCATTTGTGATCGGAGAAATGACAAACAACAAGCGCTACTCTACACCGCCCAAAAAACTCACGTTTGAATCGTCAGTGACAAATCCTTTAAATATAAAAAACGTACTTGTTTTTGTAAGAATGTTCCTAAATGCAGTTCTTGAAAAATTCTTAAGTAGTTCTCCGATATTTCCTTGAGTGATCATCGATCATTGTTGTCACCTCAGAGTACCTGTGCACTAGTAATAGTAATAAGTATTATGTATCTGTTGTTATGATGTGCTTCATATTTAAAACAACCCCATAATTCATGAAACATCTTACCTTTACCTTTTCAGATTTAAGACAAACTGGTTGTCCTAACTATAAGAGCTTATTTACCTTGATTTTTAACAACATTCTTTTCTAGACTTCTATTTCTTTGGTAACACTTTCGATTAGGGAACACTATTCACTATTAACTAGTTGCTAATTAGCATGTATATTTCTAGCGTACTGGCTGTTTGTTAGTTACTTTTATAAAACAGATAGTTCCGGTGCTTGATTCTGATTGGCTGAGCTGCATTTGAAACTGTTGTAAATTACTCTACAAACACACACCTTTGTTTACTTCTGTGTGTTGCTCGGCAACAACTTTGTTACAACCACAACTGTTTCTGAGGAACTACATTGTTTGGTGGAAGAATACTGTTTTTATTTATATCATTACACTTTATTTGCTCTGTTTTATTTTGTGAAACCTTACTACGTATATGGAATAACCGTTTTATAAAAGCAATAAGCCCCAATAAGCCATGGTTTACAGTGAATTTATAACAGCTAAGGAGGTTTTAGGCTCTCTGCTTTGCGTCGTACCTAACAACGCCCCTTAGCTGTTATAAATTCACTGTAAACCACGGCTTATTGGGGCTTATTGCTTTATTAAAGCACATATTAATGCCTTATTCTGCATGAGCATATTCTACATCCCTTAACCCGACCCCATACCTAAACGTAACAACTACAACAACTACCTTTATCCATAAACAGCAAATTAGGAGTTATTGAGGGAAAATGCTTGTAATGTAAAATGTTACAAATTCTTATGTTTTATAACAATTTTATGTAAAAACATAAGAGCATTATCAATAAATGTTTGTGGGAATAAAATCTAAGGTATTATATTATATTTTTTTATATTATATTATAAAATTATATTAAGTATATTCGCGATAAACGCCATTTAAAAAAAAAAAAATTGAGTTTCCGCCAAAATCTGTATTGTATCTGGTCGGTATTGAAAAGGCAATTTTAAATTTTATGCAAAATGCGATATCCGCCGAGGTATTCTGTAATGTTTTCTCCCTTTTTTTCCAAACCGCGACAAACGCCAGTCTCCCTTCTCTGCAGAATGCGATATATCCGCTCAACCAATCACAGCGCACCATTCCACACACTCTAGACAGTAATGGTGGCGCTTTGAATATACCTGGCATCCTAGTTTTCCTCATCTACTTTGTACTTTGTGATCAACAAACAAACAAAAAAATTAGGGCTGCATGATAAATCGCATGTGATTGTCATGAAGATCCATCATGTGCTTTCAGATGGAGCAGCATTTAATACACAGAGCCGTAGATCACTGCAATATCGTGTTCATAATCGCAGATGAGTTGCATTCGATTATCAACGCGATATTGCGTAGCTTGTCACTGTAAGTGTTTTTATTTATGCCATTAATGTTTTTGTTAATACATTGTATAGCACTAGTCAACTAAATGAATGTAACATGGCAAAGATGAATGCACTTTTGGAAGTTGAATGCAAGGGAAATGTCATTTTGGAATTTCTGTGGTTTAATGTGATATTGTTGTTCATGTATGTTCATGATTAAATTTTCCT